AATAAATGTGGAAACCTCGGATTTAAATCCGAGAGTTATGTGTACTTCAAAAAGTGAATCAGACAGAGGAGTCACCCTAGAATGTGTGAACATCAAAATTGTCCTGGTAAACCCTTTCTGTAAACACTTAATTTCTATTGGCTATTGCTCAGCCAATACGATTTGGAGACAAATACAGCTCAGATTTGAACTCTTCACCTTGATTTACCCTAAGAAACTCGTTTTTCCTATAACTTGATTTCTATTGGTCACTGCTCAACCAATGGGATTTCGAGGCGAATGGAACATAGATTCGAGTTCTCCATTCTAGAAAACCTCGAACTATCATCTCTGTGATGGGAAGATAGAACTCTAATTGTGGATCATATAGAGCGTGGACAAAAACAGAACTGAATTCCGATTAATTATCTTTGCAATAGGCGAGTTAGCTTTCTTGTTTCTTTATGTTTTATATACCATTTTGTAGCTCGTGAAATTCTCTATCGAATGGTATATAATAGTTGGGGTTTTATCTGACTATGATAGGAAAAGTTTTTTATGAAAACAGAGAAGGGTCTATCTTCTCATAGGGAAAAATGACTATTTTTGCAATAACTCAGCAATGGTTCGGCCAATCATTCTCATCTTCGAACTCGACCGAGACATTGTTAAGACTGAACTGTGCAGAAAATTTCATCGCGATTGGACTCTCCTTTCAAAAGTTATCGTGTTAACGGCCGGCCGGCCGGCCGGACGGACGGACATACTGACCGATTCTAGAGTGTACTCACTTTTTGAGTACACAAAAAACGAAGTCATTTTAGAGAAAGAAAAGTCATTTTAGAGAAAGAATAATCAACAAAAGAATTATCTTAACCGACCAGGTTTGCGCGATTATTTAAAAACGTATTATTTAGAAACATTTTTTATCAAACACATTTTGAATACATTAACATTCGTTCTTTGTTTATGACTGGATGGTCACATGTACAATTTCGATAACGAACAAGATCTATCAATATTTATTCGATCAATGTGTCGAAAAAGAATAAGACACATCACTATCTATCACACTCAAGTGTCTAACCAATAAGACACTTATAGTGTCTAACTTATGTCTAAACTAGACTTTTAGATGGATGAACTGTCTTGTAAGATGGATGGGATTGTTTTAGAGTCTATCTTATTTTCGAACAAACCATTGAAGATATTATTTGACTTCCTTTAGTTCACTAGATACAGTGAATTTTCTTCAATAGATGACAACTTCTGTCAGTTATATATTACGAATAGAGAATATTCAATTAAAACCATATTGTATTTACACCGTGCGAATCATCCCTTCAGTATACGTGCCATCATCACTTTTCAAAAACTTAATGAAAAATATTTCGTGTATAATCGAATTATTGTTACTCACAATTAAAATCAAAATCATTTGGCAAATTTTTATATAAGTAACATCTTTAAAGTTCGAATATCATTTAGATTTTCTTACACAATAATATGATGATAATAGAAATATGTTTTACTGAGAAGTTATCCTTTATTTCACACATCATCATTTGTTACATTACCAATACATACCACTTTTATAATCACGACAATAATCACTCAACTAACCACCACTCTTGCTATTTATAACATACTACACCAGTCAAGAGGATCTCAAACAATGCATTTTTTACAGCCCTTACGACCAGATACAAAGATTAAACAAATTATCCAAGAGATTGTCTCTTTCACAGAATTATTATTCAAATTATATTGCTCAGCATCTTTCACGTCAAACTAGGCATAATACGTATTTAGCTAGAAATTCTTGCACAATAACTTGGTTTAAAATCTGATAATGCAGCTGCTCTTCAACAATCAACTCTACCCACAACGCTTCAGAGAAGCAAATCAACTTTTGACACTAAACGCTCTAATCTTTCAGTCTAATTCTTCCAATCACTAGAACTATATTTATCCATCACAAAAAAGTCATTTCATAGTTTACATTTGATCAATTTATCACGTAAATAAATTACAAAATAGTTCAATATTCACATCATATTTCACAAATATTCTTAATATCAATTTTATTACAGATGAATACAATTTACATAACTATTTCATTAAATGTTTGCACTTATATTCCTATTAGGATTATTATACGTCAACCATTATTTTTCATAAGTGCCTATCAGAGTCTCATAGGTCATATTAAGATTCATCGTCTGCGATTGATCCAGGAGTGGTGGTATTGATGTTTTTCTCGTCATCCTCAGTGAGGGATATGCCCTGTGTGTGTTTCGCGTGTGCTCGGGTTTCCACTCTCACCCATAGTCAGGAATATGCGCTGTATGTCTGTTTCGCGTATGCTTGTCTTTTCGCTCCCACTTTCTAGATAGACCTTGCAGATCCTGGTAGATCCTACTAGACTCTACAGATCCTGGTAGACTCTCCCAGGTCAAAGAATCCCGTGACCCGGATTCTGATCCGGATTTTGTTGGAATCCGACAAAAGCCGATCGAATTCAGCCAGAACTTAGTCGTATCCAGTCGGATTTCATATCGGAATTCGGGTCACGGGATTCCCGGTTACTTCCGATAGGATGCTGTCGGTATTAAGACTATCCGATAGGATCCGATGGCTTAGCTTCGTCCTGCGCAGGTAGATCCTACTTGACCCTGCAGATCCTGGTAAATCCTACTAAACCCTGCAGATCCTGGTAGCCCCTAGTAGATCCTACTAGACCTTGCAGATCCTGGTAGACCCTGGTATTCTTTTAATGTTATTGAATTATTTTGTAATTCATTATTTTTGAATTATTTTATAATTGATATACGTCATCCAGTATTTGTTTGATTGTTATTCGTTTAATATAATTGTCTCTCGTTATTGTTTGAAATAAATCGACTCATCCGAATTGATTGTATTCGCATAGAAAATAGAATCGGTTTGATCGATGAACGAGAGAGAAGAAAGAAAATAGATAGAATAATTCTTCTTATTTTTTTTATTCTTTTTATGATTCTCTATTTATATAACTCATTCTAATGGAACTAGTATACTAAATAAGATCATTGACATCTATAGGGTTATTGCATCGTATTAACCCGATATGTAATACTACCAATGATAATGTACATATTCAAGTTTCAACATTCTCAAATAGCATATTGATTTGATTTATTTTATCTTCTATTGATAGATTTATTTGATTGATAATGTCGGATGATGAATCTATTGATTCAAGATCAATAAAATTAAGAAGACACTATTCATATTGGTTGTATAGGTAAGAAATAAAAGAATATATTTATTAAATTAGAGAAATAAATAAATTTATTTTCAAAAATAAAATAATCAATTCAAGAAAAAAAAAGAAAAGAAAAATCTTTATTTATTAAAGTATAAATAATATGTTGAAAATCTCAAGAGAATTTCTATGATAAATAAAATAAAGAAAAATGTCTTTTTTTATATGATTAGAAATGATAAAATTGAATTAATTAATTTATTAATTCGACCAGTTATATCTACTGATATATATTATATTAAATTATTATTATCTGATTGTTCAATATTTCAACGTGGATCTATTGATTATTCAATGTATTTTTTTTCATTTCGACCAAATATATTTTATATAATTACATCTAAACAAGATATATTAGGACATGCATCTATTAAACAATGGAATATAAATAATCATAATATAATATCTGTATTTATGCTTGGTCTTGTTTATGTACGTTATGATTATAGAAAATTTGGTTTTGGAGAATTATTAACTAATTATGTATTTAATATTAAATCTGAAGAAATAAATGATATTCATGCTAATATTTTAACAGAACATTTACCATTTTATATTCGTTATGGTTTTCAAATATCATTTTCTTTAATTGGTTTTGTTGGAAAACTTAGTGAATTTTATAATAGAAAACTAATTGTTGATGAAGATATAAATATTGAATTATATGAATTATCAGATATACTTGATATAGCAACATATGATCATAAAATATATCCAACATATCGTATTGAATATTTTGAACAATTACGTGAACATATTTATTCAATAGCTGGTTATGTTGCACGTTCAAAAAAAACAAATTCAATTTTAGGTTATGTTATTTTAAATTTTAGTCAACAATTTATTAAATGTGGACCATTATATGCTGATAATATAAATATAGCATTATTATTATTAAAACAATGTGCTTCTGATTATGATGGATTTATGTTAATATCATTACCTTATTTTAATAAACAAGCTATTCAAATATTTAAATCAAAACATTTTAAACAAACAGATATTATTCATAGAGTTTATAAAGGAAATCAAATTTTTTTAAATCAATTTATTTTTCAACAAGTATTTGCTATTACTGATGATTGGTTTTCATTAATTTAAATTATCTATTTTTGCTTTTTTTATTTTATTTTATTATTTATTCATTATTTGTAAATTCTAAT